CATTCGGAGGTAGTCAAATGTTGTGCTGCATACCTTCGGTAGATCTGAACAAGTTAATTTCGCGAAGTAAATACAATAAAAAAAAAAAAGAAATGAGAGCTAATTTGATCGCACTGTTTACACACGGGACACTGGCCTCCCGCTCAGCCCCTTCTCCCGTGTATGTATTCGTGTTGCCCCGTTGCTCCCATGCGACGCATAATTAGCACGCCACACCTGCAAATACGCATCCACGCACACTGAGGCGAGACCCCCCAAAAATAGGGCGGCCCGAAGCCTCTTGCCAACGTCTGGCACGTTCCACGCCGTCTTTCTTGTTATTTTGGTGTGTGGACGCATATTAAGGTGTGGGTGTGTTTGTGTGTGTTCGTGTCTATGTAGGAGTGCATGTAGAGTAGACGTATATCCAACGGGGCACGCTCGTCCGCGTCCTTGAAGCCCTTTCGGTCGAATATTCCGTTGTTTGTTTTCGGGCTTCATCGCTATATGTTAAAATATACAACGTAGAATCGGGTGCACGGTCTTGTGAAATGCACGCAGGCCACAATTTGTATGCGAAAACAACAAAAATGAACGACGTATTGATCACCGCCAAAATTCCCCCTAGGAGAGATGCTCAGCGGTTTGGAAACATTTAAATAGTCGGGAATATTTGTCTTTTAGTTAGTAAAGCAAAGAAAGAACTGAGATCAGATGCTTGCTGGGTATTATCGGAAGTCGATAACTAACCAGATTTGAAGAAATTGTAAGGTCCGTGCAGCGTTTGACCGCGTAGCCCAGAAACGAAAAGAATCAATTCGATCAGATCGCCGAGGTTTAGGTTTTCGAGTCTTTGTGTAAATAAATAACCACGTATCAATAAGTTGATTCTTTTGCTATATGCCAATATATTCTGCAGGTATGGGATGCAATTTATTAGTATTTACTTCTTTTTTTTTATTTTACGTCTGAGTTGGCCCTTTCGCGTTTAATGCAGCACCGGTGTACTCATACACGCATATCCCCTCAGGTTCAGTGGCATCTTACGAAGTCAGTTTTGCAAGAGTCCCCCTGTGAGCAGCCCTGGTCGTCGCGATCATTAACCAAGCGGCGAGCGCTTCCTCCCGAGATAGGCCAGTGTTGACACGGGATCCGGACCATAAAAATAGATGCTCCCTGAGTTCGGAAGCCGCGGTCTAAATATAACGGCCGGCGTCTGCGGTGGACCCCCGGTGCGTATCCCTGTGAAAACACGCTCTCGATATTACACCGGCAAAGACGGCTTGTTTGATCTTGCAAGCGTAATGGCCCTGAACGGGACGTCTGTCACGAATCGCTCGTGTACGAGAAAAGTCAGTATGTAAGTGGCGAGCGAGATGTGCATGTAAAGAAAAAGGTGTACGAAATATTAGTGTCTTACGCATGAGGTTGTCGGCAGCTTCGCCACAGCTACCTAAGCTACCACCTACGACCGCTGCCAACACCCGTCGGCGAGAGCAGGAATCTTATCCTTCGAACGGTGTGTTGTGGCCTTGTTGCAACCTCTGCGGGACGACCTTGAGGCTTTTTGTCCGTGACGCTTGTTCGTTCAAGCTTACATATACGGCCTTTATTGACAGACACTTCGCACTGTAAGCTTCGAGCCTTTATTTATGCACTTGCTACATTTCCAACAAATTCTTTGGCCCGCAAAAAAAAAAAATAAAAAATAAATAAAGCACAACTTCGCGCTGTTCTCTTTCTATGTGTTTTTTTAGTAGCAGTGGTATAATGGTACATAGTGTTGATACTCATTTTTCTCCCACTGTTGCTGCTATCTAGTCACTTAATTGGTTCTCTTAATAGCTTAGTTGCTATTTAACTGGTCGTCTAATATTCTCATATCATTGAACATCAATAAAACTAAACGTATTACACTAACACCAATCATACAGTATGCCTTCACCTCCACACACATGAACATATATGTAGTTGTGGATCATGGTTATATAGACTGAGAGTTAAATATTTAGTTGTATTGCTTCATCACATGGAACGAACAGTTCAATACATTACTAAAAAAAGTTGCAAGTGGTATCCGCGAATCTTTATAAACTAAGGAGTGTATGTGTTGTAAACTTCACATGGACTATATTTGGATCATTAGAATAATCAATTATGCGGTATGGAATTACTGTATATGGGAATTGTCCTTGTTCCCGTTGCAAAAGCAGAAAATTAGCAAATTGTTGTGTGTATGTTTATACAGCCGGAAGTTAGTCTGCCTCAGTGGGCGTCTGGTGTCTCAGCTGTAGATGAGCAATTTAGCCAGTGCGGTACAACCGCTAGCCTGGGGTCTTTAACGTGCACCACGCAGTAGTGATACACGACCGCACGCCGGTACGATGCTCATCCAGATCGAAAGGGGCAGGGATGGGGATCGAACCCATTACAAAAGCAGGGGATTGATAGAATTATAGAACGTTTTGTAAATAACATCTTTTTATGGCTCAGTTTAAGACAGCTTAAAACTTGAAAATAAGATTATTGCGCTAGATACACTATCATTCAATAAATTTGCTAAGTACATGGCCATAACTCACAATTACTATAAAACAAGTCTAATTTGAAAAAAAGAAGACCTATAGAAAAAAGACCTAAAATATTAGCCAATTACGGTAAAAAACGACGGCACCATACCTTCAATATTTACCACTTTCCCAGAGCTTTGTTTAATTTATTATCCATTCGAGTGGTGGCAAACATTGTATACACGTAAATGGTGTCATATGTTCTCACAATAATCATTATCTTACTTCATGGTAGTCATTCTGTTATGTTATCATTTATTTTGTTGGTATATTTTCTTCTTTTTTTCTTACTGTATTGGTAATGATCTATAGTAACATATTACCGCAATCTGAAAAAAATAAATAAAACGCTCCATTCGAACGCGTTTTTGGGTTTCGTTCTTTTTTTTAATCGGAGCGCATCTTTGCCCCAGAGTGCACAATACTTCCTTCCATCCAAGTTAGGCGAGGCGGTGGCTTCGCACCTCGGCCACCGGGGAGCAGGACCGCTAGAACAAATAAAGGCTTGGATAGGAAACCGAAACCTAGAAAGCGCACCCAAATTGAGCGTTTTTACGGAAGTTTGTAAAATACTGCCCTCCTCCCCCCCCCCCCCCCGCCCCCCCCCCCCCCCCCCCCCCCCCCCCCCGGGCCTTATATATATATATACAACACGGGCACTTCACACCATCGTACGTGGCCTCCGAGGAGAGTATAAACGAATATGTGCAGATGAATGAACCGTACTTAATCCAATTATTCAAAGAATCAAAGTTTTTCAGGAACCCGCCGAAAGCCAAAAATCCTGGCTCCGCCGTTTTTTGCCTTTCGGCGGGTTCCTGAAAAAATTTTGATTCTTTGAATAATTGGATTAAGTACGGTTCATTCATCTGCACATATTAGTATATATATATATATATATATATATATATATATATATAAAATGAGTTGATATAGTGGTTTTTGATTATGCTTAGCAAGCTCATCATTAAAACCATGTGTTTATTTTCACAAATTAATAATGTTAATTAGGAAATCTAAGGTTTATACTTGACGTCTGCCGTGGTTGGCAGTTCGTTTCCGGAAAGAGTTGCTTTTTTTCTCAACCATCCCACTTTGAGGTGTTTTTTTAAGCCTTCGTTTAAACACGCGGTTATTTTTGGTCCAGCTAGTCTCCGGTTTTTTAATGCCGAAAGCCAAACGAAGTTACGTATTTTTTTTAAATACGTTTTTATTTAAGTGCATCATGCTATGGAATGTATAAGCTCCTTGTGGGCACCCGGTGGCACAAAGCGTTCAACCAGATTGCCCGAAAGTTAAATCATCTCTGGCCATCTGCACCACGAGGCTGCAATGTGTGATCGGCCACGCGAGCAGCTTTCCGTCGCTGATAAAAGACCGACGCAGAAGTATGCTTGGGGAGTCGTTTGATTCCTGGGCGAAGATAACAGACAGTAAATGAGTACGTGTTGAACCCGCCCCTTGTGTCATTCTTTGGGGCGAGTGGCAGCAAGGGAAACCCAACACCCTTAATTGTTAAATTCGACCATCTTTTTCTTTTATTTTTGTGCAGAACCTATTTAAAACCTGCGTTTTGATAAACGTGGTGCAAATCCGAAATAAAATTAGGCCAAGCAAGGAAAACGAACAGCTCGACTGAACTACTGGCTTTTTGAGAGGACAACATTTCGGCATGTTTTTGTTGAATCCGGCACTTTATATCTTTGCGTTGATGTTTACTATTTCATAAAATGGCTTTATGGCAACATTTTGAAGTGCACTAGACTAAGCGATAATGCGTCGACGATCACGCTGCATGCGGAGCATTGTGGATTAAAAACGCCACATTCTGACATTTGCGCTGGCTTACCTTGTTGACATCTACAGCTCATATCTGTACACTCAGTGAGGATAGGGTTCGAGGGCGGCAGAATTTATAAAATGCAACAATCGTTGCAAGCGAGGTGTTACAGAAAAAAAAAAGTTGAATTTTATTTTGTCGTGCAAAACTCTTTTCTTATAATCAATATGCGTTCCACAATATCGACCAATTGCTTTGCATACAAATACTCAAGATGCGTAAACGCCGAATCTGAATGTTAAAATAAATGCTAAGAAATGCCCGCGGAAACTTTAAAAAATATAAATAAACGTCACAAATGCCAAATCTGAAATATGTCTCAGCACAACATGTACTCTGTATTGCAACCTTTCGTCTGCTTAAAGTAACTAAAAAATCGCGCTTAGACAGACTACGTTTCGTTTCAATTATGCACGATAAACGACAGCAGCACCACTGCACAGCTCAAGGACGTGTGAAATGCGGATTTTATTTATTCCCTTATGGTGTCTACAACTGACTGCCTGCAGCATTTACAACTTGTGTCGCAACTTAGTGTGTACGACCAATTCACACTAACACAACCCGACCAGCCGCAAAACAAAACAAAACAAAAAAAGGCGATATTTTTTATTTAAGTTTTTTATTAGAACTTCACTATCGAACCTTCCAGCCTCACCTTTCGGACTGCGAATTGCAAAAGGAGACCGACAAACTCCTCTCATTAGGAACGACGCTTGCAATAACAAAGAAGTGTGTTACACGGGCTTGTTCTTTTCCTTTCACTCTCTTCCCTCCTTGGTCGGCACTTCAAAGTCGCGCTTGTCTCAAATACCACCGTCGACGGCCGACACGTCTTCTTCAACCTCATCTCCAGAACTATCATGACCGTCACTTTCAAACCCGTTCAAGCCATTTCTCATGCTCTGCTTCGCTAGCAGGGAAAACTTCTGCATTTCCCGCGGGTTCGTCGATGAACCGTACACAGCTCTGAGGACCTCTCCGTCTAAAAACTGCGAGATATTCACGTTCGGAATCGTCGCTTGCATGTCTTCCAGGCAGGCACGTGCCGCGCTGAAATCTTTGTTGTTTACGTAGTGCTGAACCATGAACGCAAATATGTCACCTCGTCGAACGGCTGGCTCGGGATTGAGCTGGATCAGTTCCTGACACTGAGCGATCGCCTCTGAAGGACTGTCGGTGTACAGTCGCTGAGTGGCGACGTATCTTCGCACATTCTCCATCTGTGCTCGGAGTCTGGCTAGCTTTTTTGGCGGATTTTCCCCGCTCTGCATCAGACAGTTTTGTGCTTCGTTTAGAGCGCCCAGTGCCTTCTCGTAGTTTTGATATTCCTCTATTTCTACCTGTGCGCACGATTCATAAAACCCAGAAAGGAGGTCATATGCTCGGGCCTTGGTGTAGTACGTTACAATATGTTTCATAATATCTGGGTTCTGGCGCCAGTCTAATGACTGAAGGTAGTTAGCTGCTAGGACATAGATCTCAGCCTGCCTCGATACGCCCGCAAAAAAGATTATCTTGCTCGTGTCTCCGGATTTGAGCAGGGCCTTCATGGCCTGTACTTTGTTGCCGGACTGCGTAAATTTTTTGGCAGCTAGGTGGTAGTTTTCTTGCTTCATGCAGCATTCGGCAATTTTCTCCAGTATCCTCGATGACTTCGTCTTGTCGGACTTGCTCAGGTTTTGACTCAACGTTTCGGCTAGTTCCTCCGTGATAATAACGTTCGACTGCAAGCACAACTCTAGCGCCCTCTCGTTTTGCCCGCTTGCAGACAGGAGCAAGACCGCCTGGTCTTGCTTACCGACGGCAGCGAGTCGCTCCGCAGTCGTCTTAACCAGATTCGGGTCGGCATTAGGACCAAGTTCTTGGGCGGCTTGCTGCAAGGCCCCTAGGTCTCCTGACTGCAGCGCCAGCTCCGCTGCTTTCGTAGACCAACCCCCTTTCTGATAGAGGGTCACGGCTTTCTCTAGAGCCCCCTGTCGCTGCTCGAAGTAGCGCGCTGCTTCCAGTGTTTCCTTCTGGTTAGCCAACAGTGCTAGGTTGAACAGCTGCTCGTCCATTTGGTTTTCCTTGCAAACGCGAATAGCGTTACTGTAGGCCTTCGCTCTGCTAAAGAAGTGCACTGCCTCGGGGATATTGTCTTGGTTCTCAAGGTAGCGGGCTAAATGGAAACAAGCTGCTCTGTCCCCGGTCTCATTAGCGATTTCACATGCCTTCTCCACGTTGTTGAAGTAGCAGTGTACCCTGAGAAGTGACAAATAATCTTCGGATGCTTCATAGAATTGTAACGCTGCTTCCATTTCGCCGATACTTTCCATGTACTGAGCCCACCACTTCAGCATGTCCTTATTTCTGCTGTTCCGCATATACTGCTCCAAGGCTTGGGGTTCGTCAAACAACATCCGAGGCACCTCAAAGAGGTGTGTTTCCGACTTTTCGTACATCTGAATGGCTTTCTCAATGTCTCCCGAAGCCTCAAGATGCTGAGCATAGTTGTGGTATGTGGCACGTAGGCGGATCCTATCGTGGGTTTGAGCAACTTGTATGGCCCGCTCCCATTGATTTGAATCTTCGAAGAGCTTGATAAGAAGGTCGTACCTTCCACAAGCTTCCAATAGGTCTTCGGCCTCTTGAATCATGCCAAGCTGAAGAGCTAATATGGCAGCTCGAGCTTCTATTTCAGGCTCATCCTCTGCCTGTCGAAGTGCCCAGGCTCCTCGAGCGTGGCCCATTTTACCAAGACAAATCTTCGCCACGTCGAGCCGCTTTGTCTGCACGCACATTTTTGCCATATTCTCCCACACGGCTTGGTTTGTAATCGCCTTGATGGCCTTGAAGGCCTCATCCATGTCACCGAGCGTCAGGAAGAAGCTAAACGTCATAATGGCTTCTCTAACACTGCTGTCACAATCTTCCAAGCCAACGAAGTCCCTCATCGGAAGCCGGAAGACATGCTTAGAGCCAGGAACCTTCTCGACCAATGACGATGCGGATTTAGACCGTTTTAGCTCGAGCCAATCAATCACATCTTTTCCAAGAAGGTAGAAGTGGGGTACTTGTACGCCCATGAGGCGGAATCTGTCGCTGTCCAATCGAAATACGTCCTGAACCAAGATCCCGTGCTCAGTTGTCACGAACATTGGCACGACGACCACTTCGGCTCTCCTCAGCTCACTCACACTCGAAGCTGCCGACTTGGAGCGTCCTCCCAATTGCATCTGTGCCTCGCAAACAAGAAGTCTTTGGTCAGTGTCATCCCAGTAATGAGACACTGGAGCACGTCCACATACTTCTGAACTTTTACAAGTTGCAGCTTGCTTTGTGTTGCATTCATTACCACTCTTCCCAATTTCAAAGTTATACTCGAAAACGGAGTCATCGTCCAGATTCCATACGTAGAGAATGGGGTGTCCTTTAGCCTGCTGGTTTGATTCGTTGTCTGTTTGAGCACTTACTAGTAAAACACTTACTTTGTTTCCTTTGCAATTGCACTTGACGCTCTTGATCATTAGCGATTCGTTGCCATCAGTCTTAAGCAAAGTGGCTAGGGTCTTGAGACCTGCATGCAGCTTAGCCTCTCGTCGGCTGAGGTCCCAGACCCGAATGTAACCCTTGGACATACCGAGTACTAAGAAAGAACCGCAAATGTCGATGCATACGACATTTCCTTCCTCTTCCACTAAGTGGATAGCCTGCTTGAGGATGCCCTGAAAGCTCTTCGCCTGCAGTTTTCCATCTTCGACAAGGTACGCACTGGTCTCATGAAGGGCCACCAATGGAGAAACTGTGTTCACGCCCCCCATGAATTTCGCGACCTTGCTGCCAGGTAACGCTTCATAAAAAAGCAGCCGCTTTCCATTAGACACAGCGAGGTTGTTCTGACTTACAAACAAGCCTTTAACCGGTATCTCTGTCTGCAACAAAAGGTGACTGCTATTAGAAACAGTCTCGACAAACACTTGTTTGGCTGCCATCTGTAACGCGAGACGACCGTCTTTGAAGTTAAAGCAGGCGTCCTGTTCAAAAAGTATGAACACATCTTCAGTCGTTATGGTTCCAAGCAACCTACGAGATTCACACCACGTCAATTCCTTAACAGAATTCGTCAGCTGAATCGATGGCCTCGGTTTCCAGTCTTTGTCTAAGCGTTTCCAAACAATAACCCGACCTGCGCTCGTACCAACAGCCAGTGAGCTTCCCAGCATATCGGCCACTATGCAAGAAACCGTCTCGTTAAGTTCCGCCTCAGGTAAGAGCAAGACAGTTGTTTCTCCAGTCTCTAGGTGAAGCAGCCTCGCTGAGCTCTCACCAGCGATGACAGCGATCAAACCCTCACCCACCCAAATAACACTGACCCGCGCTCCGTGTCCACTCAGTTTGACGCGACTTTGTTCCGTTAAAGAACCATCTTCGGCAATGGCGAACTGCGCAAGGACAAGCGTATCCGTGATGGCAACCAACATGTCCTTGGCGGCGTAGTGGACCAGGCGCGCCACACCACCATCCATTTGAAGCACATCACCGCAGCTTCCGTTCTCGCTGACAAAGTAGATGACACCCGTTGTAGAACCAACATAGAAGTCGTGGGAATCGGACATGTGGACCTCTCTTGCGTTTTCGTCTTCCTTGAGCTTCTGCCAATCCGAGAAGAGGTTTAGTGCCTCTTCGTCCCCTTCAACGGCCGCTCTGGCGAGGCGACCAATCTCGGTGTTGCCTTTGGAGTAGCGGTGTCTGAAGGTAATGTCCGTAAGAGAGTCCCGTAGCTCATGGTAGAATACGGTGCCCAAAGAGCCTCGCCCAGCGTCCACTTTCCAACCAATACAGGTCCCAACTGAATCAATAGAGATGATTCTGCTCCCACCGTCACTCCACTGCAGTCGGGATACGGCCCTTTTGTGTTGCGTCTGCGGTTCGTGCAATGTCTTCGACAGATGGTTCCAAACGCAGACCTCTCCACTTTCCCATCCCATTGCCAAAAGGGGCAGGGTCGGGTGCCAGGACAAGAAGGTGACCTGCAGGGATTCCTTGCGCGGAAGCTCACCTTGCAACGCGGTGCCGTCGTCGGAAAACAGGCGGATCGCTCCCTGACTGGTGTCCTTCTCAAAGACACTCACAGCCAAGATTGGATGATCTCGATGCCAGGCTGCGTGTGTCTTTGTTGACGCCGAAGACGAATCTTCCACGCGGGTGTCTAAGTAGACCGCCATTTTCCTCTTCTGCGGAGGAGTATATATCCCAACAAATTCGAATGGCAGAAGCAGTCACGTCCACACAGCGACACAGGCAGAACCGTCTTGTTGGCACGAATCACTCATCTCGTCCATGGTTTTTGTTTTTTTGCCAGTTTTTCCGCGGCAGGAAGCACGAACGGGCTAATTGCGAAGAGAGACATCCTGGAATTCATTGTTCCGGGTGCGTGAGCCCGGTTACCAGCAACATTGTTGTTGCTAAGGACCAATCCGCCACCTGGCGCTCGGGGCGGGAGATCGCGCGACTACTTGGGCTTTGATTGTTGCGCTTTTTTTTTTTTTCTCACGCTGACCTCATCGAGCGACGCATAGCGACTGTTGAACGCCGGTGCACGTCAGACCGATCGACAAACGTTGCACGCTATGTCAATGTCGCGCGACAAGAAAATGCAAATCGAACGTATGCGTCTTACTAATGAGCGTTGTACTCATTTACAGTATATTTTATGTCTATATTTAAAACAAATTCAGTGCTGGTTATGGCTAGCGGCAACACGTTTAGCAAAATCTAAAAAAAAAAAAAAAAAACACGTCAATTCGTTATTTATTTACTCAAACTTAAGGGATAAATAACGTACCCATTGGAAGGATAGTTGGAGAATGCTTCGTGGTATGTGATGTCACCACCAAATTATCTCAGCCGAGCGGCTGCCAGATAAATTTGTGCACTAGAATAAATTTTTTGTGATTTTAAGGAATTCAATTTGTCTACTTCACGTTTTAGAGAAGGAGGCAGATGAAAAAAATATCACAACGCAGCTTGAGAAGTGTCAGATTTGATTTCTTACTTGTTATTTTGCAGTTTCTATATTGACGGGTTGGAGGTGCCTAAGTGGGTATGAAACATCAGAGAATGTTTTCGCATGTAAGACAATAAAATATGGTATATATGTTTGGTTGTGGTAATTTCCGGTTTCATCTGGTTTTGTGCCACGACCATGACAATCCTTTGGGGATCCTCTTTTCACCTTTGCCACCAATTTTCTCATTAAGTATGTGCGCAAACAAATTTTAATATGTAACAAATTAGGCAGTGACCTTTATCACCAAAGTAGTACAATATATAGAGTGAATTATTTAAAAAGCAACTGTTCGCTTCGTTTAGGTGGCAATAAAGAGTTGTTTCAGAAAGTAAAAACATTAACGATGAAAAAAAAAATGCAGACGCTTAGTATTCTTTGTAATTCGAAATTAGAGCGCAGCTCTTGAGGTATGTTGATTTTTTTTTTATTTACCGTAGTAGAGAATTTGAGAGAGAAATATATATATATATATATATATATATATATTTTTTTTTTTTTGAGGGTAGGCCAGGGAGGACGAGGAGGCACGGTGGGAGCCCCATAATGCAACGCGTGCGATGTTTGTTTCAACGTGAAACGTTTTCGGCTAATTACTCCGGATTACGTGAAGCCGTGACTTGTGACGCCACGTAGCGTCATAGTTTCCCCGCTAAATTTAGTTGGAAAATTTACAACGCGTGACCTCAACACCAATTCAGTTTCCCCGCTGAATTTAGCGGGGAAACTGACGTCACATGACTTCATGTTACGTTACCTATCAACAAATTCAGTTTCCCCGCTAGATTTAGCGGGAAAACTGACGTCACGTTACCTCAACACCAATTCAGTTCCCCGTTAAATTTAATGGGGAAAATTATGCCACATGACTTTATGTCACGTGACTTCTACACAAAGTCGGTTTTTCCGCGATATTTAACGGGAAAACTGATGCCGCATGACCTCAACACCAATTCGATTCCCCGCTGAATTTAGCGGGGAAACTGAACTGGTGTTGAGGTCATGTGACGTCAGTTTTGCCGCTAAACTTAGGGGAAAACTAAATGCGCATTATGGGACATCACAGACCTACACAGCAATTCAGTTTCTTCGCTAAATTTAGCGGGGAATTGAATTGGTGTATAGGTCTGCGACGTCCACTGATCTCTATGTCTATTTGCTGGATCGCGTTTGCCCGCTCCGCGAATGCGGCCACTGGCGGCCATCTTTTAGTAGAGTTATGTTACCTCTATCCACAGCATAGTAATATGGTGGTGCAATGTATCGCCAGTTATATATGGTATAGCTGGTGCAGCCAGCGTGGCGCCAGTTGAGGTTGCAAGCTGCCATAAGAATAGCCTTGGGTGACATTTCGTGCTTGATTGAAATTGTTCGACGAAACATATTAGGGAGTTTTAGTAGACCGTGTTTCCCCCTCCGCTAAGCCCTCCGCAACGAAGAAACCGCCACTGCGCCTGCGTGCCGATGGCCTTGGCTGTAGAGTTCCGGGTAGCGGAGGGGCTTAGCGGAGGGGGAAACACGGTCTACTAAAACTCCCTATTGTTGAAACCCGGCTTGAACAGCAGCCCCATCTTTGCGGACTCGGCGAAAGTTTCACGAAATCGCAGCACCGGGGAAAGGAACCACAGCTCGCATCGAAAGCGGATTGGGGTGATGGCGGAACGCACACACGCTTCTGCGTATCTCCGGCTCCTCTTATATCTTATAGCACTAGTGCACCTTCGGCAAAGGTGCCCTCCGTCATCGATAGGCCGTGAACATCAGCTGGCACGCTTGTGGACAACAGCAGGCTCGTCAAGCGCGTCAAGCCTCGCTGTCCGCGGAGCATTTTTGAGGTTTGATTTGATAAAAAAACTGCTGATCTTGCACGACACTGACGACAGCCTGTCTGCGCTCTCTCGGTCGAGTGGAGGACGCTCTGTGCCTCTGGCTTTGACCAGTGGGATTGCGAAAAGAATCAATTCACTTCGTTTAAATACATTTTTATATAGAACGTCGCAGGCGAATATATGGTACCAAAAATATATAAATCACTCACGGGCCCAATTGGCACACAAGTTTGTGGAGAGATCCCGGTGAATATATACACTCGCATGAATTTCCCAAATGATCGCGAACACATCCACTGCGTCTCTTGATCCGTATCCAAGCGTTCGGGAGCACAAGACTTCACCACTAACGAAATCACACCACCACCTCCGCGGTTCGACAATGTCGAACCGCGGAGGTGACCATTCCGCGTACGACGTCTGCTTTCGATGCGAGCTGCGCTGCTTTCCCCTGGTGGTGTGATTTCTTCTTCAATCAAGCACGAAATATCACTCACGGTACAGTGTACCAGACCCAAGGTTATTTTTATGGCAGCCTGCCGCTACAGCGCTGTCCGCCATATTACTATGATGGCTAGAGATAATAAAACTCTACCAAAAAGAAGGCCGACCGTGGCTGCATTCCTGTCCATGGGCGGAGCTGGTCAAACGCGATCCAGCAAAAAGACATAGGGATCACTGAAGACGTCCCATAATGCAACGAGCGCGGTTACGCCGATGGCGACACCGACGCCGCTTAACGCGAAAACGGGTGCCTAAGAGCTGTGCTCTACAAAGGGCAACAAGGGCAAGCTGGTAAACTAGCTTCATAATAAATCTGCCATAATAAACTATAAAAAAAACGAGCTACCGTGGTTCAAGCAGAAAATCTTTTCGGCTAACCATTATTCCTTCAATGGCTCCTTGGCACAGGGCAAACCTTCCGAGAAGCTAAGGTGGCTACCAATGCGATAACTAAATTTTTTAAGGTAAGAAAGCTAGTTAAGATACTTCAAATACGGAAAAATAAGGAAAAGGTGGGCATAGCTTATATATATATATTTTTTTTTTGTCTCCGTTTCCTTTCAGGACGAATATGTTTTGACTAGTTTGGTGTGACTGATTTTATGTTCGACTTTGTTTTTTTAGAGCGCAGCTCTTAGGCGTCCGTTTCTGTGTTTCGCGGCGTCGCCGTCGGCGTAACCGCGCTAAATTTATCGGGAAATTGACGTCACGTGACCTACACAACAATTCAATTCCCCGCTAAATTTAGCGGGGAATTATATCGCTGTTGAGGTCACGTGACATTAATTTTCTCGCTACATCTAGAGGAGAAACTGAATTTGTTCATAGGTGACGTGGCACCAAATCATCGGACGTCATTTTCCCCGCTAAATTTAGAGGGGAAACTGAATTGGTTTTGAGGTTACGTGGCGTCAACTTTTCAGCTAAATTTAGCGGGGAAACTGTGAGAGGAGGGGAGGGTACGCAGGAGGAGGAGGGAAGGGTACGAAGGTGGAGGAGGAGGAGGGGAGAGGAGGAGGAGGAGAGGAGGAGGCGCATATCCTCCCCTCCGTACCCTCCCCTCCTTCTCTTTAAAAGCTGCGCTCCAGTTTCCCACTCCAGGGATTTTATATATTTAATACTTTTCGTGTATTTATGAAAGGGTGACCAAGTGTGTAAGCGCAGCGCAGCTCGGAACGCGTGGAGTGATAGCTCGCGCTGCAGAACCCAGCATTTTGATCTGGATGTGCATCGTACCGGTGTGCGGTCGTGTATCACTACAGCGTGATGCACGTTAAAGACCCCAGGTTAGCGGTTGTACTGATCTGGATAAATTTATCATCAACAGCTGAGACACCAGACGCCCAATGGATCGGACTAACATCCCGCTCTATAAACACATTGCAATTAAGTATTTATGAATATTTTTCTATATGTACTATGCATATCTGTTATTTATTTGTCCCCCTTGCCCCTTTTCCAGCGCGAAGCAGCGAGGCAACGTCATTAAGCTTGGTTACTCTCTTCATCTTTCTAATAAAGATTTTTTTCTCCCATTTCGAGACTCGAGTTAATAATAATAAAAACACACATTGTTTATTAAATGACATTTTTCTCCTCCACAATATTGTCGTAAACTAATGAGAGTATCGGCATGTGGTAACTGGTGTAGGAGACGTAGGGCGTAAGTAAACCTTCGGCGGTGAAGGAAAAAAATCGTCGGGCTGACGCAGAGGTAGAGCGTTGGGCTGCGGGCCGAGAGGTTCTTTCTGGATTCGATTTCTGGCCGGTGGGGGTGAGTGTATATTAGTTTCATTCCGAGTAAGTGCTTGTTTACGCTGTTTTGCTTGTGTTGCCATGGTAACCAAGCGGTTGTGCTGGCATGCAATGCCACCTACGCACCGCAGGGGCATGCGCTGACGACAAACGGTCGGATGAACAAAGTTCTGGGAGTGGTGTTATTAAAATGCATTCCTTCACCATCTCGCCTATAAAAATGTCACTCAAAAGCAGTAGCACCCGGAGCAGCCAAACGACGCACATTCAACTGTCGCTGCCCAA